CCAAGAAATATTTACATAAAATTCAAATTTAATGTTACATGAATTATTTATAACTTTGCAAAGTTAAATTTAACTTAAACAAATAACAACTAAATGCATTTCTAATTACTATTATCAAATATTTATAGCATAAGTACATCTCAACTAAGTTGTCACCTACTTTTATTATAATTTATAGTTTAAGTACATCTCAATTATGTTGGCTCTCTCCCCCCCCTTTTTAAAAATTTTTTTAAATATTTTTTTTTCACGAGCGAGTGGGTTAATCGCGGCCCGTAAAGATGCAAACCACGAAACCCGCAGGTCACACCTACTTGACCCGTGAACCGTTTGCTCAAGTTACGGGCCGGCCGCCATCCTGGGTCGATCCGGACCGATTTTCAAGAGTCTGGTTGACCCGTCCGTCTTGACACCTCTACAAACACACCACCTTTGGCCCAACCCGTTAATGCCAACCAACGCGAGTCACAGTCCAAGATCGACATGTCAATTCAGAGATCAACCAACTCGAGTCACAGTCCAAGACCGACATGTCAATTTAAAATCTATGATCGTCAAGCAGCCAAGATACACCTCGGTATGATTTGATCAAATCAAACTAGAGTCATCTACAAACGGTCGGATATCTCAACTGAATGGATCCGTTCAAATTCAGCTCCAACCAACCACAAAATCTCGGAGAATTCTCACCAATCCCGTCAGACGTTTATCCCACTCCTATAAGTGTCGTGGTCAATTTAACATTCGGGTATTCTCAATTACTCTACACTAAAGTCTGAACTATTTCTTCTTACTTTCCATCTAAGCACTCATGTAATTCTCAACATGCTTTACTAACTTGACCGTCGAAGGGTCTTCGATCGGCACCACACAGGTGTCCACTTAAGATCTCATATACATTAAAGAGGAAACATTAATGTACATGCATTAACTTCAAAATTTAATATCTTGAAAGATTCATCGTTTGTTAATTTGTATTGGTGTGAAATTAAAACTTTGAGCTCGTCAAAATTAGGGATGAAGTTGAGTTTGATTTGGATGCAGAGAAAAAGTAAAAAGACTTTAGATGCATATTTTGAAAAGGATTGAATTGAAAGAAATGTTGTCAAATTAAATGTTTATTAATTTATATTAATATGCATTTTTATGAATTTAAACAGTTATTGTATTAAATGTTGAACAATTATAAATTTGAGCTCCATGTTTCAACTTCTGAACCAGTGAAGAAAATGGTTTTTAAGTTAGTGAGAATATAGCAAAACTTCATTTATGCTTATACATAATTATCGAATCTTGAATGAGAAAGACTAATAATTAGATTGGTTGGTCTATGATCGATTGGCGTATCTAATTATTTAGACTTAGATAATATATGTCCGAACATGTCTCTATGATAGCTTGGAAATGTTTTGGACACGATTGCAATTAATTTGAAAATTTTGGACTTAATTATAGTTGTAATTAAACCAATTAGTCCAAATTTGACTTCGAATTGAAATTAATATTTGAGAGAAAAATTGGTTTCTTATTTTCTTGATCTTTCGTGGTTAGAAATTGTTTTTTTTTTTTTTTTGTTTAACTAAAAAAGGTGCTCACATGCTTGTGCAGTCTTGATTTTGAAAAATATCATAGAAGACTTATAGGCAAGCGTCAAGATCTTGAAACAAAAGTCGGAAGCTCGTGATTTAGATCCGATCAAAATTTTGATTATCGAATTTTGGTAAATTTCCAATCTTTATTTTTTGATTATATCATACACATAAACATCTAGTAATAACAATCTTGAATTTAAAGAAAATTTCAATTTTTTGTATAATTATTTTTCTGCATTCTAAGTTTCTAACATAACTTTCATCGCCCCTCTAATAAATGTGAGGTCGAGTAATTTTATCATTGAAATAAGGGTAATTAGGGCAAAACCCCCCTGACCTTTTCTTCTATTATAGAATACTCTCTATGCTTTCGTGTCAAGTTGTTTCTGCATCGTTTGTTCCTGAGATCTGTTACAAACACAGCCCGGAAAAGGATTTGCGTAAAAGTTCTCCTCCAGTCGTGGGGATTCACCTCTTTCTCGAGGATATGGTGCCCCAATCCTGCTGGAGTGTAGGTTCTTGACCTTTGAGGTGAAATCCTCCCAAGAAATGGAACCTTTATCCAACAAATCTATCAGTCGAACGAAATTTAACCTGTAACGTGAAATAATGCAATGAATTTAGTTTTCGACAGAAAAAAATAACCACGAAAAGGAGAAAGAGTTGAGAAAGTAATGAAACCTATCAGGATTTATTGTCCTCCGAAATCCTTCAAACCTCCTATGTCCCTGCACAGCCTTTGCCATATTTCCGTCGTATGTGTAAATGAACAAATCACTTTCTAAGGCTACAATATAATCTACGGCTGCAAGTCGATTCTGATAATGCTTAAAAACTTTGAGTTCTTCTTCTGTCGCAAGCGTTGCATGACTGTGAACATTTGGATATTCTGATCGAAATGCGTCCATGCTATTGTTACCATAAATTTCCCCTGCAACAATGTATATTCTTGTTGTGGTAGGATATCCCATGGCGCGGAGAAATAGGGCTGCCTCCCGGGGAGACATTGGGCACAAGCCTTGCAGTCGCTTTTCTTTGCTGTCTATCTCTTTCTCTTTCCAGTGCTTAACGTTGTACCTCATGACACGAAGTTCCTCGGCCTCATCCGAGTTCAAGCTATGGCTGCAACCGGTAAATGCAAGCATGTCTTTCTCATACCTGACGAAACAAAGATTACAAAGAATAATTGAGTGACTTCTAATTATGTTGCAATTTGATTTCGTCCTTCTCTAATTTTATTGTATTTGTTTGCTCGGGATACTATATATTAACCAACAATAATACCTCAAGTGCAAAGCAATAAATGGTTCACCGTTGTCTCTAAGTCGATCCACCAGTTTCTTTCCAAGCTTCTCAATCTCAGGTGTGTAGCGGAGAGCCTCATAATTTGCTCGACACCTGAGTTTCTGAATAGACGGCGCGAGGTCATTATTGGCGAGTCTTGAGTCCGTATGGGTAAACTTGATTACTTTGTGCTTCTTTAACGAAGGGAGAATCTCTCCTCTGTAGTAACTAGCCTGTAAATAAAGCATATAAAATTAGGCGTATATCCAACTGAAGTAACTTGTCAGTACGATGGTTCTTCTCAACCTTCGACCAAGAGACGGGGGCCCTAATCAGGGGTTTTATTGCTGCATATTCTTGTGGCAAAGATTCAACTATCTCAATATCATCTCTTAAAACTTCAATGAAATGTCTCCAGTCAAAAATATCTTTAAAACCACTGCAAAAGTAGCGTAAGCTTAGGAAAGACCAAAACGAAAAAGAAACATAGTCAGTCAGCACTAATACGGAACTGTACCTAGGATCAGTCCAAAAGGACTCGTGATCAAGCGAAGGAAGGACAAGAGAGGCATTCATAATTTTCGCAACAGCAACCATGTCGCATATCTAATTGAATCCCATAAGTCGATTTTCAGCAAAATTTTATGAAATTGATTGACTCGAAATGAAGAAATTGATCTAAAAAGAGCATAGCATTAACTCACTCCGGTTCTCATTTGATTCAATCCCCCATTTGCATGAACTAGGATATAACCATTTGTTGTTGATCCCGATCCTGAAAGATTTCAAAACATTAATGTGTATCAAACAAACAGAACTGATTCGTGTCCGCAGTGGGCAGGAGATATGTTGCCCACCACCGACGTGATGACATGTGGTGTTGCCACATCAACTGTTGGTGGGTAAATGGCAATACCACATGTTGCCACTTCGATGGGTGGGCAACGTTACTCCTGGAGCTCAATTCTAATCAAACAAAATAATATCCAGTAGCAACTCTCAGATTCAGGAAGCATAGATCTTTGACATACTTATGCGATTTCTTGGTCGAGTAACGCATTGATAATAGTTCTCACTGTTCGGTTTCATCCATATTTCTGGGACCTGTCGAAAAAATCTGAAAGTAAGTTCTAATCTCACTGGATTAATGCTCAAAGTCCCGAAAAATTTGCAGAAATTAAATTATTTTCAACTCCCAATTGTTGTAGAAACTTAGTTGGAAAAAAATCATGAGTACAGCCACATTGGAGAAAAAAATAGAAGAAGATATAACTATTCAAGGAATTATTGAAAATTTCAATTTTAATAATGTAATCATTAATCATTCAAATATAATGGTTAATTATTTATTTTGATTAAACTTACCGGAAATTCTTTCATCAGCCGTTTTTGCACGGCTTCGGCGGAAGATGCTTCAGAATCAAGCATCGCTTTCTGAGCATTAGACCAGCCATTCTTGAAATTCTGAACAATTAAAATTCCATTCTCTATCGCAACGGTTCTTCCGCAGCCACCGCCGCACTCCCTCAGACCTCCGCCGACGACCGTGAAAGAGAATTTGAGAAGCATAGATAACAGCACCATCAACAACAGCAAACCCAAAATCGTACGGCCCATATTCTTCCTTGATCCCAAAGAATGCATGACAACCAACAAATCTTCCACAAGCAAAACCCAATTCTCCGGCACCCTTTTGCGCACCAATAAATACCTTATCGCCGGGTGGTGGTGATGGTGGCTGCCACCACAAATGTTACATAGATACCCTACACCATTACTATTATTAACTGTATCAGAATCCATATCATTCATTGAACGATCAAAACCAATAGGTATAACATCAGACGATTTTTCATGATCGTTTATGGAGTCTACGACGCGGCGGCGGTGAGCGCCACCGTATATGGGGCTCCCGCTGGCTGAATTGGTGGTGGTGCCACCGTTTGTCATTTCTGAAAAAACATACAAACGCATATACAAATCAATTCCCCTTTAAAAATGGAAATGATTTTTGAAAAAATGTCGAAAAGGGGTCAAAAAAGGAGAGAAATTTATGAGAAGATGGAGAGAAAAGGTTGGCATGAATGGTGACTGGGTTTTGGACAAAAAGGTCAACAGTATATTGCTTAGTTTTGGTATGTATGCATTTGTGGGGGAGAAATATTGTATATTTTGGGTCTATAATTCAAATAATTAAGTGCTTATTTTTGGTATTATTACGTTGAGAGAAAGAACTTAGTCGACGTTCTGTCCTATTTTCTAATCATTTTCCTCGAATTCGTTTTCAATTTTAAGAGACTCACAATTTTATCAACTTTTTAATTATATATTTTATCAATTTTTATTAAAAATGTACTAAAAATCGATTTTTTAATTAAACGAAACAAGGGCTTAATCTAAGGAGTAAACACAAACGCAAGCTAGCATAGGGTTCATGTGACTGGATAGTTCACATCTAATTTGTTCTCATTATTCTTTATTCCATTTATAGGTGGTATGGTCCATGAATAAAAATTATCTTTTAAAGTGATCACCTAAGTGTTTACTTATAAATTGATCGAGACACAAGTTTAATTGAGACTTATATTAGGATAATGATAAGACATAATAATTGCTTCATGAAAGCTATTATTTGATTAAAATTCAATATTAAAAAAATACCAAACGTAGGGAAAAAGAGTTGTTACGCCTTTTTTCTGAAGAAACTCCAGGCCACCCACATGGCAGCAGCTAAGGAAAATCACCAAGGCCCTCGCTCCACTTTACATCCTACCTGGCCGAGGTGAAGTCATGCTATGTAGTCTAGTCGAGGTGATGCATCACTTCGACTAAGGTGTCGTGTTGAGGTCGACCCTCCATGGTTGAGGCAAAGCGCAATGCATGCAACAAGAAGAGGTGTAATGCTCCTAGCTTCCACATTCAAAAAAACATATTTAATTTCACATCTTCCCAGGAGGTCTTTCTACAGATCAGCCAACGAATCCTTGATGTGACAACTCACAACATCAAGCATTTTAAAGTCAAATTGTCAGTCTATATACTAGAAGTTAGACTGAGCTTTAGAGTGGCTGCAAGTCAAAAGTATCAAGTGCTGGTTAACCTATGATTGATGAACTGATAATTAGGAAAAGACCTAGATCGTCAAGATGAGGTCACGTGTCACTGCATCCAACAGTTATCATTTCTTCTCTATTACTATAGAAGTTCACAAATTGTGTCATTGAAAGTAATGTAAATTTAGACTTTCAAAGCTATTAGTATGCTCTCAATATATTTACTTCATAACCTTTCGGATCCAACCTCTTTATACTTAGTAGCTCACATCTCAAAATGTCACCTACCTCTCCACTTATACATCGATTGACTTGATCGTCAAAGTGTCGATCGCCTCCACCTCACTTTGAAGAAAGCCACATTTGAGTTGTAGTTTGATCAACTGTACACGACTAAAAGTTGAAGTGGATGCGAAAGGACCCGAGATTTGTTAGACACTTCACCCCTATAAAAAAGAGGTCGACAAGAGTATCGATAGTTATTAAAATTTTGAAGTATTAAAAGATATGGTTTTTTTATGTGGTTCCTTGTTAGAAAAACATAATATGATTAATATATGTAGGTGTATTCACATGAATTGAATTTTTTTACCCACTTTATTCATGATGAATAAAGTTTGTGCATTAAACAAGTGAGGATGAGGATGTTGCATAAAGTGATCTTTTTTTAGTTATATTTATTTACTTCTTTTTTTTTGCATGGCCTTAGATTAATCGGAGTTGTGAAAAAAGATTCAAGTAGTTTAACCTTAAACTTAGTCGCTAATTCCTCGTTTTTATATTTTTTTTTCCTGGATTAACAGAAAATGTAAAAGCAAACGTTATTTGCCACATTGAGTAACAATGAATTTGGCAGAAGTCGCATTTTGTCGTGCCAAGTTGTATGACACTGAAAAAGGGGCGACAAAGCTAAAGTTTCAACACGGAGAATCTTTCACGTTTTCTTGTTCCCAATTCTTATTTATTATTTTCTTCAATGATTATAAGCAAGTACTTCAACTTCAATATTATATTATAATTTACAATTTCACTTTTTTATATATAATTTTAAGTAGAATAACAGCTTGGAATTTGGGAATACGTTTTAGTATGTTATACGCGATGGTATAAAAAATTTAAAAATGATGTAATAGAATTTGACACTTATCATGTTTAGTCATGTCTTGTACAACTTATACCATACGATTCTAAGAATTCAGATAATGACGTATTATAAGCGACACGCTTAGCATTAGTCATCTTAGAAAGTTTGATGGGAAAATTTAATATTGACCTTGTTTATTCTGCAAAATTTATCTATTGCTCCATTACAACTAAGGGCGGACCGTCAAAAGTGAATAAGAGTGTTTTGCTAAGTTTAAAAATTCTTTAAAAAATTACTTCGATTCTCTACTTACTTTCTTAAAAAACTCATTTTAGCCTCTGTTTGCTGTCCATTTTTTAGCTGTACAAAATGAATTTTGTGACCGTTGGAGCACCAACTTCAAGAATAATGTGAGATGGAAGTCAACAATTTCGACAAAGTGGGACCCTGCAACGGTAATATTTTTTCTAAAAATGGAGAGAAAATGGGAA